TCTATCTATCTATCTATCTATCTATCTATCTAAGTCATAAAAACAAACAAAAGGCACAAGTCTAAGTCTAATACATTAAGAAACTGAATACAGGTAAATCTCACCCTCAGAGATGTTCCAATAAGCTTCTTTCACAGACTAGACTCCATCCTAGTCTGGGCCCATCCTTTCCCCTGGTGCCGTCCTTGTTCCAGCTCAGGGTAACAAAGGGGATTTCTCATGACTGGCCCCGCTTTGTTCTGTTCCACCCCCTTATATAGCTTTGGCCCAAGGCGGGAATCCTTTGTCCCGCTCTGGGTCCCCCCCCCTTCTCAATGGAAAAGCCCCAGGATTAAGATGGATTCCAGCACCAGGTGACATGATCACATATCCTGTGAGACCCCCCCCAGCCTCCATTCTTCCCAGCCTGACTCACAGGAAGGTTTGCAAGTAAACAGAACCATTTACCAATTGTCCTGGTCCATGGGAGCCATCAAGATCCTCAGCCACCATTAATGGCCCACACTTTGCATAGTTACAATAGGGCCTCAGAGTTATATTTCATATTCCTAGTTTCAGATACAAGACGTGTTTGCTTCCATCACAAGCCCGGAGCAAATCTCTCCCCTTCTGTCTCAAACGACGCCGGCTGCATTTCCAAGCTCTGTCCGTTTACAGATCTTCCTAACATGTCTTTACAGTGTGGCCATGGGTCATGTCAGGCTGGGACTTAATTAACGTCCTCCGGCCCTGTGTCACCTTTCAATAGATGTTATATAACACTCATAACCTCACAGCTGGTTACCCAGGGACCCCTCGCCTGGCGCTGAGATGCAGCCATCTCTGGGGCGGGGTGGCCGGTTACCCAGGGACCCCTCGCCCGGCGCTGAGATGCAGCCACCTCTGGGGTGGGGCGGCTGGTTACCCGGGGACCCCTCGCCCGGCGCTGAGATGCGCCCACCTCTGGGGCGGGGGGCTGCAGCGGCTGCATGTAACGGCTTGTCCCCGCAGGCTCGGGGGTCTGTGTGGCGGCTGGGGACCCTCACTACACCACCTTCGATGGGCGGCTCTTCCACTTCATGGGCACCTGCAGCTACACCCTGACCCAGACCTGCAACGCCAGCGCCGGGCTCCCTGGCTTCTCCGTGGAGGCCACCAATGAGCACCGGGGGGCCAGCACCCGGGTCTCCTACGTCCACGCCGTGGCTGTGGAGGTGTTCGGCCACCGGGTGGCGCTGCTCAAGGGGCGCCGAGTGACGGTGAGAAGACACCCCCCCCGTCCCGCCCCCCATCCCCCTGCTCCCCCAGCTCTGCCGGTGCCCCTCACTCCCGCCCCGGCCCCCCTCTCTCTCCCCACAGGTGGACGGGCAGCGGGTGACCCTGCCGGTGGGCCTGGCCGGGGGCCGGCTCGGGGTGCGGGTCAGCGGTGGCTACGCTCTGCTGCAGACGGACTTTGGACTGCGGGTTCGGTATGATGGGAACCAGCGGGTCGAGGTTCTGGCGCCGTCGTCCTATGCCGGGCGGCTCTGCGGGCTCTGCGGTGAGTGCTGCCCGGACGCCAGGGTCCCCTGGTGCCCCCGTCCTGCTCGGACGCCTGGGTCCCCTGGTGCCCGGATGCCTGGGTCCCCTGGTCCCTGCACACCTGGGTCCCCTAGTGCCCCCTGTCCCGCTCGGACGCCTGGGTCCCCTGGTCCCTGCACACCTGGGTCCCCTGGTGCCCCCCATCTTTCTCGGATGCCTGGTGACCCCTGTTCTGCTCGGATGCCTGGATCCCATAGTCCCCGGATACCTGGGTCCCCAGGTGCCCTCTGTCCCGCTTGGACGCCTGGGTCCCCTGGTCCCTGCAAACCTGGGTCCCCTGGTGTTCGGACCCCTTGGTCCCCTGGTGACCCCTGTTCTGCTCGTACACCTGGGTCCCCTGGTGCCCGGATGCCTGGGTCCCCTGGTGCCCCCCATCACACCCAGACGCCTGGGTCCCATCCCAGCCTCACTCCTCCGTCCCACCTCCCCTTGCAGGGAACTACAACGGGCAAAGCTCTGACGACAACCTCATGCCCAATGGCACTTCGGCCGGCACCAACACCGACCGCCTGGGCGGGAGCTGGGCAGTGCCAGGCACCAGCAGCCCGGGGTGAGTGGGGCAGCACTGGGGGGGGGGGCAGGACTCCTGGGTTCTCTCCCTGGCTCTGGGAGGGGAG